AAGAAAGCCTTTAATTGATCTAAATCTGTTAGAGTGTGTACTTAGAGTTTGAGACATTTTTTGTGAAATAGTTTATTAAAATTTATTTTGATAGAAAAAAAAATAGGCTCTGTTTTCCCGGGATGCTCCCAGGAGTTACTCGCCAGAAGTGGTTCCTTCAATCCCGTCTAATCAAAGCCATCCTTTTGATCTCCTAGTTGATACTACCCGTGTGATTCTGAAGGAGGTAGATCCAGAAGTCCCTGGCTCCGACTACATCAACGCCAACTACATCCAGGTCAGAACCCAGCCCAGCTTTCCTTCTCTCATTCTCTCATTCTGTCTGTCCTCTCCCAGCCCCTGCCTCTTCGCCTCCTGCCTCTGCCTGTCCTGCCCCTACCCCTGCCTGTCCTGCCCTCACCCTGTACCTGCCCCTGCCCCTCCTGCCTGTCCTGACCCTGCCTGTCTTGCCCCTGCCCCTCTCTGGCCTCACCCTTCCCCTGCCTGTCCTGCCTCTGCCTGTCTTGTCTCTGCCCTTCCTGCCCTCTGCCCGTCCTGGCCCTGCCTGTGTTGCCCCTGCCCCTCTCTGGCCTCACCCTGCCCCTGCCCCTGCCCCTGCCTGTCCTGCCTCTGCCTGTCTTGTCTCTGCCCTTCCTGCCCTCTGCCTGCCCCTGCCCCTGTCTGTCCTGGCCCTGCCCGTCAGGCTGTGCCCCTGACTGTCCGTCCTGCCCACAGAGCGTGCAGGACGATGGCCGGCTGGTGGGTGTGAGTAAGATGTACATCGCCACGCAGGGCTGCCTGCAGAACACCGTCGAGGACTTCTGGAAGATGGTGTACCAGGAGAACACCCATGTGATCGTCATGACAACCAAGGAACTGGAGAGAGGCCGGGTAGGCTAACTGGTCGCTGACGGGTGGTGGTGGTGTTTTTAAAACGAGAAAGATGCGCTCCAGAGCTTCTGAGCTGGTCCGCCACCCGTGAGGAATGTGGAGGAACCTGGGTGGGTGTAGAAACTCTGTCCTGGGAGACTCCAGCTCTCTGAACAAAAAAACGGCAATGGCGTCTAGCTCCTGACCGGAAGGTCCCGGGTTCAGGCTCAGGTAGGGGCAGACGCTGTAGCTCTCATTCCTTCCAGCTGGCTCCCAGGTCCACTCAGCCTGCTTTCCAGGTGAGTACCGGGGGTTAATCCGGCCGGAGCGTGATGCTGACCACGTCACCTCCACCTCCAGTGGCGGATGGTCAAGAAAAGTGGTGGCCCTTGCCCCCCATTCCCCCCGGGGCCTTAAAAGCCCGAAAAGAGACCTACCTGTAGACACACACTCACACAGGTCCAAAGACTGAAAGGAAACACAGAAAATATTAAAATGGCACCACAGACTGGTTTCACTACCCTGGTCCGGACGGGCAAGACTTGCCCCAGGCGCGGGTACTGTTAGTCAGGGTGGTGAAACGGCACTGCTGCGGATTCATTCAGGTTTTTCATTGAGGCATAAAAAGTGGTTTCAGGTGATTCCTTTAATGCCCCTGTGGATGTAATTATTCGTCCTGCGACCCTGGAGCGCGCTGCGGCGCTGACAAGTCTCCGGGCTGGGCAGACTCACGGGGCTCCTCTCTCCCCGCCCCTGCAGAACAAGTGCGTGCGGTACTGGCCGGACTGCGACTGCTCCCAGGACTTCGGCCGGGTGTGCGTGCGGAACGTGGAGGAGCGGCCGGCGCAGGACTACATCCTGCGGATCCTGAACGTCACGCATCTGGACCGGGTGAGCTGGGGGGGGCCAGAGCATGAGGGGTCTCCCGCGCCGTCGGGCAGCGGGAGCAGTTTGTACAAGGCGTGCCGGGGCTCTGGATTGCACGCGGCCCGATCCCGTCCTGTGCTGATCCCGGCAGGTCAGCTCTGGACAGGGGAGGTGGCCCCAGTCGGTCTCCCGTACCTCAGGCCTGGCCCTGAGAGAGTGGGCCGGCTCGGGTTCGTTTGGCAGGAGCTCAGATTTGCCCCAGCTTAGTTAAAAACACAACAGTTACGGACAAGTGGAGGCCCCATCTGGTCCAGCTGGGGTTTCGACAGGAGTTGGTGTTTCTTGGGAGAAGCCGGGGTGTCTACTTCAGCAACATGGATTGGTAGGGTGTTCCAGAATCCCACAGATGTGCCTCCTGCTTCACTTTTAAATGCACTTCTGCGTAAACAATAAGGTGCAGGATTGAAGAGGCCAAAGGATGGCCAGCGTGTCGCTCTCTGGACGTGGGGAGTGTCCCAGGACGTCCCAGCATCCTGCCTGCAAGGATGGGGTCAAGCCGACATCTGTTTCAGCTGATTCAGCTGTGTTTCCTGTTGTCAGCCTGCGGTGGGGCATTGGCTCCCTATCCTGGCCTGCCCCTTTCCTGGGGTGGCCAGCTCGGTGCCTCTGTGTCCGGCCTGTCCAGTAACACACAGGCCTGTGCCTCGCGCTCGGGCACACTGTGTGATTCTGTTTGTAGTCTAGTATACAGCAGGCTATGCCTCTACTGGTGTAGTCACTCCTGTTGTTATGTTTTATTGCCCATCAAAGATGGCTCACCAGGGTAAGTTGTCATTTCAGTACACAAGCAAAGCCTTCCTAAATACAAAACAGGATGTTCTAAAGCCCAGGACGCTTTTGTTTCTCTTGCAGAATGAACCACCCAGGTACATCTGGCACTACCAGTACCTGAGCTGGCCCGACCATGGGGTACCTAACGAGCCGGGTGGGGTTCTGAGCTTCCTGGACCAGGTCAACCGAGCCCAGAACAGCGTTCAAGACACTGGGCCCATCGTGGTGCACTGCAGGTAAGAGAGACAGCAGCCCGGTCTGTCTTCATTCGGGTAACCCAGCAAAGAGCTCGGTGGCAAACTGCTGTGAAGAGCACTGTAGCAGAGACCAGACTGATTGAGACAGAAAATAAACCTCCCCCACAGCCAGTCTCAGCCGGTGAGAGCACAGACCTGGTCTCGGGTTCGAGGCCTTGTCCGTGCAGCTTTTGAGTCTGGGTGGCACTGGTGATATAAAACTGTCTGTGCGCTCATGATTTATAATTGGCTGTGCTTCTCATGCTAAGGAGAAGAAAAATGTGATAGAGAGAGCAAATAGCTTTCAGTTGTAATTCAGTTTGGCTCAGACAAAATCGATACAGGGCAGTAAAGTAAACCGGTCAGGAATGTAGAACAGAATTCAGTTTCCCATTCTGCCCACGAAAATGAAAAGTAATGCTATTTGTTTTCGACTTGAGTGTGCAGCAGTCAGTGTGCTGCTAACCATTCCCTGCAAGTTTGGCAAGACTGAAGTTTAAATGTCACACACTGAATATAGACTTTATTTTTCTCTTTCAGTGCAGGAATAGGCAGAACAGGAACAATAATTGTCATCGACATTCTCATCGACATCATTAACAGACAAGGTAAGAGGCTGCTGTGTTATCAGCTGCAGGGCATCAGTGTGGTTGATGAGGCCCTCTTGTGGGCACTGTTGAAAGTACACGTTCCTGAACTAAACACTGGGGTGCCGATAAGCCAGAGTAAGGAGCAGGGTTGCCTGTCCAGAATGGACGTTCTTATTGTTGAGCTGGAGTTGTGGAGGTCTGCAGAAACCCAGCTGTTCTCACAAAGAGTTGTTTCTTACCAAAGTGCTGATTGACCCGGAAGTGTTTTGTGCTGCCATGTGTTTCCTGTTTCCCGTGCCTTGCCGCAGGGCTGGACTGCGACATAGACATCCCCAAAACCATCCAGATGGTGCGGTGCCAACGATCGGGGATGGTCCAGACTGAAGCGCAGTACAAGTTCATTTACATGGCTGTGCAGCAGTACATAGACACCGTTCAGAAGAGACTGGAGGAGGAACAGGTGAGGTCACCCCACTGCACGCTGCTGCTTCCAGAGGTTTTATCGGAAGTTTAACGGTTTAAACGGCAGCTGCCACCGGGAATTGAGAGAATTGATATATTGAATTTATTTGAGACCTTTGGTTTTAGTCTTTGAGAAAATGGCAGATGTGGAAGTAGGAACAGTATAGTCTGCTGTGACTGTGACCTTGTAACCTTTGACCTTTCTGACTTGTAGTGTCCTCGGGGATTGGTCAGTAGAGTGACCTCTAGAGAGGTCAGTGCTGGCCGAACACCTGAATAGGATCAGTCGGTGTCGCTTGTGCTTTGGGGGAAGGAGGGGGACAGTTTGAGGACTCATGGACTGGTCACTCTCCTTTTCGCAGAGGAATAAGACGAAGGAGAGGGAGTATTCCAACATCCGCTACCCGCCCACGGAGAACGCCAAGCAGAAGCCCGGCGTGCCCGCCTCCCAGACGCCCCCAATGTGAGTGGGGCCGCTGCCCGCCCGCCCTGCTCTCGAACCTGCAGCTTCACACCCCGGAGCTTGATATGAAAGGAACAACGCTTATCATACAGCACAAACACAAGCCGACGACACCGTGTCTTCCTAATTCGGGGTTTGTGAAGTAGCGTACAGGTAGAAAGACTGGAGAAGTGTCCGACTGGCGTTGATCTGCCAGCTGGGCGCGAGCTACTGTTGGCGTCCGTCACAATGACGCTGGGCTGCGTCTCCGTGCTTGCTGGATCGCGTGCTGTGCTTTTTAGACTCTACGCAGAGGTGGATGAGCTCTGCCAGCAGTGTGACTGCTAGATCAGACCTGGCAGGGACCTGTTTTTACCCAGTCGATAAGGCTTCCCACTGGTCTATTCTTTACTGCTGCTGGGCGGTTTTCTTGTGATGGATAATATAGGAGGGCTGAGAATGCCCCAAGATTTCACACATGTGACTCACGTGTATAAAATGTAAGGTTATACGCTGTGCTGAAAAAAAGATGGGCTCTGACCCATCTCATCCATAGCTCAGGACAGTGGCTCCCCCTGTTGGAAGTCAAGGGGAAAGCCACCTCTGAGGCTCTGCTACTTCCCCTGCTCTGAAAGGAGAAGAGTCTGTGTTCAGCCTGCCTGTTCAGAGCCTGTGGTTATACGCAGAGATGTGATCAGATGCGTTTCCGAGCTTGTCTTTCTGCTGAATGTTTCTCCTGATGAGAATCTCACTGTGGTCCTTTGTCTTGTTTCCAGGGTTTATGATGATTCAGCAAGCGTGTATGAGAATTTAAACATTAAAAAACCCAAGGCTTCAGGGATCAGCAACGCCAGGAGATAAAGCAGGGTGCTTGTGAGTATGCCACACCTGTGTCTGTGCAGCCGTTGGCTCAGAAAGGCCTTCTGCAGGCTTGGATTAGTGTGTGCGTGTCGTCTTTCACTTCTGAAGGCCGTTAAGACACATTTTCCGGATGCGTTAATGTCCTTCTTGATGCCTTGCCAGATTTTATGTTTTATAAAAAACATGTTTTATGATTTTATGTTGTGCTTGAGCACCCTCTCTTATTCTTACACGCAGGCGTCAAGCGATTTGTCAGCAGGACGCTGCCCTTGTCTCTGCAGGAGATACCATAAAGAGCCACAAGGTTCTAGCACAAGCCCGGGTTGTTCTTACCAGAGCCTGCGATTCTGTTTTTTTCGACAAAAGATTTATAGTTTATCCACTTGATCTGACACCCATTCGTACGGCTGGGGGTGCTGAAGTCACATGGATACAGCCCGTTTCTCACCTGGGGTTCGAACCCCCACACAAGGGGGTCCGCGCCTCTCCTCCACGCTGCCACCCTGCTGACATCACTGGCTCTCCAGCTCTTGTTCAGAGCCAGCTGTTCTTGAAGCCGGCGTAGTTTGTGCTTCCTTTGTGCTTTGGCTTGTCCTTGTGCAGAGTCATTTTTCTGCGCTCTGTGCAGCTGACCTCTCGCTTTTGCTGCAGGTGCCCAGTGTGCTTTTAGCCCTTTTTTTTTTGCCCCATAAAGTCCACACACCTTGTCCTTTTTTTCCCTCAGGACATGTGGAGTTCCTAAACACAACGATGGGTTTTAAGCCGAGCTGATCGGGTGGACCCCTCAGACAGGCAGCAAGGCGAAGTTGAAGCCCCTGAGGTGGAAGCCGCGAAGCCTGGCTTCAGTCACCTGCTATGAGGATGGAAAGACTTTGGCTAATCAGCGTGACTTTTGTCCCCTCCTCCCCTCCTCCTCCTCGTCTCGTTCCTCTTCTGTTCCTGAAATAAGTGCCTCCTCTGCAGGATTGCTCTTGAATGCACCCCAACCCGTCCTCCTTCTCAGCCCCCAAACAGCGAACTATGGGAACAAAACTGTGTTTGGGATCTGCATTCATCGGGGAGATGGGTCGACATGTTCAGGCTCCGAGAGATGGGAAAAGAGCTCGGATAATCTTTCTCCTACTGATTGTTCTGAAATTTTCATTGTTTTTAAATAATATATACACAGATCTATAAATATATTTTAAAGTATTTAAAGTGTACAATATATACGGGAAGTAAAAGGTGAAGCAGCTTTTCTTCTCCTGGATCTGTTGTGCAAACTGGATGTGTCGGAGGACACTGGGCGGCCCTGTGAGCTGGAGAGACGGGGGGACCTTGGCCTTGTCGCTGCGCCACTGCAGGCTGCCCAGAGCGAGTTAGTGCACCCCCCCGTTCCCCGTCCTTCAGGGGCAGCAGCTGACCGCGGTCCTGGCGCCGGGTGCTCGTCTCCCCTCCCCCCTGTGTCTTGAAGTGTGCTTTGGCTTGTTGTTGTTAGCTACTTTATCTACTGTAACCAAAGACCACTGACGTGATCAGGCTCAAAGAACTTTCTCTGGAGTGTTTGGAGTCGAGCAGAAATTGCACTCTTTTAAAAGTGGAAAAAGAACGGTAAAAATAAAAGGATTCTTCCGTCTTTGAAACTCACGACAGTTGTGTCAACGAGATGTGTCCCAGAACCTTACCTCTTCTGTACCCAGAGCAACACAAAGGGCTGTGCTGTGGGACTCTTCCTACAGTCTCCCCAAGCACACCCTGTTTTCAAGATGCACATTTGCTGGCTTAGGGAGTTGTTAACTGGATGTGAAGCACTCTGTTCAGTGAGCCCTCCCTCATTCCCGCGAGCTGCAGGTGGTGCTCTGTGGTCTCACTTACTAGTTACTCCTTGTGAAACCAGCAGCTCCCACATCTCCGCTAGCGTTTGACACAAGTCGGGAGTCTGCGCCCTTCCCTTTCCGTATTGGTTGGACGTAGATCACTCTCAGCACAGCGCTTTACTGTCTCGAGCTAGTTGCACAGGAGCCCAACGTTCCCGTGAATCGAAGTACAATTGTTTTTTTAATATAAAAAATGGACCCGTGTCCAGCAGTCTTCGACATGCCCTTTGCAGTATTTTGTGAAGGATTCTAATGGAAAGTGGGGGCTGATACTTAAGTAAATAAGACAAACACACTTGGGGTGGGGGGTGTTGAGTTTTGAAGCATATTGAGTCTTAGCTGTGGTGTGGTGATGGTCACTTTAAAGACCACTAGAATAAGAGCCGAACGTGGTGAGCAGCAGTAAGGAATGAAGGTGACTGAAGGAGTGAGTATGTGTGTAATTCTGTGCTGCTGTAAGGAGAGTTGGGACTTGCTGGCATGCCGCCTGCAAACACCCCTGTTGTCATGATTCTGCGTTTGGCCGAGTGTGTGAACTCCTGGTGCTCCCCTTGGGGCTCTGTCTCCACGGGTCTTTCTCGGTCTTTAAAAGATCAGCCCCGGAAGACCGGAAACTGAAATTGGCCTAATTATGCGATGAGTCAGCTTGGCCAGGTCACCAACAGCAGCTGCGGAGCCCTGGGCCTGGTCCAGAGGCACGGAGTGAGGTACAGGGGCGTCAGTGCCCACCTCAGGCAGCATCTGAGCTGAACAGAGCCTGCGGCTGAACCATATAGTGCTCTCAGAAGTGCTGAGTTCCTGTTCCTTCGGAGACCTTTGGGTTCAGTCAGTTGCATGTGAGCTGACCAGACAGTTCCCAGCTCAGTGAAATTGACAGGGTGTGTTGATTTACTGACTGCATCTAGTGCACTTTATTATTCCTCATGAGCGTGTTTCAGATATGATGTAATACATTGTGGCCACAGCAAACAACCGCAGTGCTCAGCCACATATGTACAGGGGCAGCTGTGTTACAAACTCCCGCACTGTCTGTTGGGTGGCTGATAACCTGCTCTGTTGTCGGAAAAAGTGTGTGCAGACATTAACCATCCGCAGACCTTGGACCTGTAGTGTTTAAGAGCACAACGCTGTCCGTCGCAGAGATTTCTGAGTTACCTGCAGAGCTGCTGGGGTGCGTGGAGGTGCTGTAGCCAGTCTGTCCGTTCCAGGTGAGCAGCAGAGCTGAACTGGTCTAATCCCAGGACACAGCGAGGATGCCATGTGCCCTGGTGATCCCCCTTATACCAAGGCAGGTATGTGAAAAACTTGTAGACCCCCACCTGGCTGGCCGCTGGCCCCACTGTGGGCGTACAGGAGCGCTAGAAACATCTCCCTCCCTCTCGCTGCTCTGGCAACTGGAGAAGCTACTTGCTTGTCAGCTCATTCCGAGCTGCGTGGGGCAGGAAGGGCAGAGTCCGGCTGGGACAGGAACAGTGCTGCTCTGGAGGAAGCCCAGTTGGTCGTCTCGCTCAGGAAGTAGCTGGAATGTTGCACTGTTTCGAAAACCTCTTCGAGGTTTCAAAACATCTTCCCGTGTCAAAGCTCGGGCATCTCGTGCAACAAGCGACTTACCGACCTGGACTTGTGCCCCATTACTTCCGGAACAGTCCAGATGTATTTCTGGTGCTGCTGCCTTTGAAGGGTGAATTAGAACTAGAGAGTCAGGTTCGAGGTACACTTGGTCACTCTGTGTACACGTGGTCACTCTGATTGTCATGTCAGAGGCCACATCATTTATTTTTTTGATGGGGTGATTTGTCAAACAAAGTGTTTCCACCTGTGTATGGATTTACATGGACTGCGTGCACACAGGACGTGTTG